GCAAATTACGGCTAATTAGAAGGTCTACCTTTTCATCTGATATCCCTCCCTCCTAAAGGACGAATTCGAATTAAATCCTAGTAGGTGTAGATTGCATCTGTCACAAGACCATTTTGTTTGTCCTTGTCAAGAACTTATCAGTGACAGGATGCATTGTTACCTCCCCGTCCATGCTGCGGTGATAAAATCCCTCCTCAACTTCATCGGAGAGGAATAGCAGCTTCCTTTTGTGCGTGTGGTTTATGGGGCAGGTAGCTTGGCAATAAGGAGGAGGCCCAAGCACAGATGCCACATAAATATATATGGATATATATATATATATCTTTATTCTCTGCGCCTCACACACATCACACATACATACATATGGTAATTACCCACACCTCTCGTGAATACACACACAATATGATCAACTGCATAGATCAAGAGTTTTATGCCGTGTAGGCGCCATCAACCATCTGCTTATCCACTGTATTTCTGAAGTGCATTCTTTCTCCTTTTCCACCCCCCGCCTTCGTCCCTCCCAACCTTCTCCTTCCAACTCAATTGTTTTGAGCGGGACCTAGTCAGAATGAAGGATTCGGAGTCACTTTAGGGAAGCATGAAAGGAAAGCACTTACTGTATTCCAGTCCCAAACCTGTGTATTTGATCTTGTTGGATTCGTGGAAGGCCTTCTTCTTCAGTCGACAAATTCTGCATCAAATAAAAGGAAAAGTCACAACCACAACACCACTTCACCTTCGTTGGGCGGGGCATCCCCTCCTTCTCGTGAAAGAGCTCGTTTAGAAATCTATTTCCTTAAAGTTAGAATGAAATGTTGTCAGTACATCAGGGATGTGTCTAAGCCTGTGCGTTTCTGTGGGAAATAAAGATGTTTTACAGATGTGGCCGCTTCCTTAACAAATAGCCTATTTCAAGGATCGACGACCCCTCATTTTTATCTTTTTTATTGTGAAATGTAGCAAAAAGTTATTTGGCTACCTCCTCCTCTCCACGCAGCCGCCAGCTACCAAAGGATAATATCGTGGAGGAGGTGTTAGGCCTCGGTATATGTCTCTACTTAAAAATGCAGGACTAATTTTACTATTAAATGCTTTCAAAGTGTTAGAACTTTTCGACACATAAAAGTCCCCATTCGCCATACCCTAGTGTCCAATTTGGTGCAACACCTATGAGAAGGCATGTGGATGTTCTTTGGCTACACATCTTTCATTCAAGACCTATTATCTCACCTCACTCACCCCTCGAATACCAGGAGGCAGCTACTCAAATGTTTCTGTTGATATTGCCTCTATTGATCTCCTCCTTGTCCGACAAAAAAAGTTGTGAAAATTTTGCACTTTTCACTTCTCTTTGCTGAAGCAAGCATTTATGGTGGTTGTTTATTTTAAGCCGAAAGATTGCAGCTACTTGTTCTTTGTGGATAAATTTCTTTGAAAAAAAATTCTTCCCAATTAAGGCAGGACCTTGTTACTCACTGACAAAGTTTATTTATTTGCCTAGTTAGAAACGATAGCGGACTTTTTAAACATCCTTAGTCCTTTCTCCTTTAACAGTCTCCCACTTCAAATTCCGCTTCATTACTGAAAAGAAGTTTTTTTAATTCTGTATTGTATGCTGCAATCCATTATGATCAACAAGTTTCGGAGTGGCTTAGATTCAAGTTATAATTTCCCAGAAGGAAGGCATTTTCAGCGGTTAATTTAAATATTAAGGGATAAATGTTTAAAAATCCTTAAATTAAATGCTTAATTTATTTGGAAAACCTTCTTTAGCGCCAAAAGTGTGCCTTCCAAACTGAGCACAAGTGGTGGGATTTTGAGAGTCCCAGTCGAAGTTCACTTACTCCTGGTAAAGCGCAACACCTTTAAAGGTGTTGTGACTCCTCACGATTCTAAGTAAAACCTGATTATTTTTTTAATTTCTTCAAAATGCCACCACTTTCTTCTTAAAAAAGGTCCACTTCATTTGACTCCACTCTAATTTAAAACTAACCATGATTTGATCCACATTTCCCAATAATTGGCAACAAATTTGACTCTTTCCTCGGATTGCTTTCGTGTTTAATATCAACAAATCACTCAGCAATACTACTTTGTTCTCTTAAAAGCAGCATTGTCATCAACTAAGCGGGAAATCCGAAATGAACACAAAAGAACCGACTCACTTGCTGGCCAGTTTATTTTTCTCCCTCTTGGCCTCTTCCACACGCCAGGATGGTGGTGCCACAGCTTCCATATCGAAGCGCGAGGACGGGAGGAGTGCACCCAAATCACCCCCTGCTGTCCCTCCAACGCCGCCGCCGCCACCACCAGCCATTATGATCTCTCCCTGGCGTGTAATTTGTGCCGATAGCCGGTCCAACTCGTCACCCATGGAGCGTAGTCGCAGGATGTTCGGTGTCACGTCGTTCCCATCTCCACGACGTAGCTTCGAACAGTGCACCAGATCGTTGCGCTTCTGAACCGGGTCCTCGAACACCACAAGAGGGTATTGAGGCATGGAGTGGGCAGCGATTGAACAGTTGCCCACTCCAGTTACACCAAAGCTGCTGCTTCCGTCGTAGCAGCTACTCAAGGGGCTGGTGGAGGTAGAAAGTGGTGAGTTGGCTCCACCGTTGATCAAGCGTACGGCTTTTGGACCCTTGCACTGGGCGTTGTATTGCCAGAAGTAGGCGGAGGGTGCAATACCACCTACACCAGTTACCGAACCATTGGAGGAGACTGTAAAGAAGGATTGTAATGTCTTATAAAACTGATGTCCTCAATGTGATAAGCCTACGACCAGCCCCTTTAGAGACCTCGTATTTGTCACATCTCCGAGCTGTTTTCATCAGGTGGAGAGCGAAAAGGTAAAATCGTCTTTGCTTATATATTTTTATCTACTCAGGAGTTGTCAGGAAGGAAAGGTATATTTTTTTTGAAGGAAAAGTCTTCCCTACTCCATTATTACACAAATCAGAGGCCATTTTGGTGCATCCAATTGTCATATGTGATGGAGATTCGCTGCTACTCACCTGATCACTCTTTGCTAATCATATGTAAATAATCAATCAAGACAGGAGGGTGACAGGAAGCCCTGTTCTTGGCATACATTCGCACGGCCTGGAGACATCTGTGCTTCCACATGCCTCCAGAAGGCACTCAGGTGGAATCGACCAGGAACTTTTGTCCCCTGCGGGTCCTCCTGATGGGGCAGTAACTGCTCGAAATGACCACGGAGATCCCCTATCTCACACACTTCTAAGATCCACACTGCTTTGATCTCTGAGGCCCATCCATATTTTCATTTGATCTCCGTTAACCAAATTTAGCCTTCAAGTCAACCTTCACGACATGATGCAACTCAAAACCGCCCCTCCGTCTTGGTTTGTTCGAGTTTATTCAATCAGTAAAAGGGAGCCTTATCTTTATTCTTCAAAGACAACCCGCAGCATCTTTTATTCCCCAACACAAACCTTGTTCCAGGATTGGGGAATTTGTACTTTAGACGGGAGAGGTAGATACGCACTCCCGTTTCCTCCGTATGTTTCCCTTGACCCGTGACTATTGCCAAAGGAAATTGATAGTTGAAGAATAAAAACAAATTAGAACCATAAAGCAGTCGGAGTTTCGGTTACTTCTTTTTTCCATGCTTTCTAAGTGTAAAAAGACATTCTCCAAAAGTGGAATGTGAGAGGACTCGCCTCGCTGAGAAGAGATCTCTATACCAGTAGATTCCAAATTTTTTAATTCAAGAAAAAAACTTTCTCCGAATCTTTCTGTAGTTACTCCCCCTTTTACATGAGTGCTACCGAGCTATTCACTCTCCTCGCTTCCGAATGTGGAGAAGGTGATAGACAGGAGCGTCAAGAGCCGCAACGGAAGTCACGGAATTTTCGAATGTTGCTTTTTAAATAAATATCATTTGATTATTAGCGCAATCCAAAAGGTCAACTCAAAAGTACACAACAATTGGCTTGCTGTCAAACGGTGGCAGCAAATCAATGCGAGTTCTTGTGCACTTTGACATTGACAACGCTCCAGCAATTAGTGAACCATCTTGCCATCTGGAGTTGTGCCTAAGAAATATCTAGAACTGTCAGGTTCCATGCTTTAACCATTTGAATAACCCTTTCGTCTTTAGCTTTGCCAAAAATTCTGGCACCTTTATGTTAAACGCGTTGTGTCGAAATGAGGGGGCATGATCGATACTGGTTGGAACAACAGGAAGTGTTTTATTTTATCGTCCCTAACTTCAAGCTCTGCGGTAATTTAGTAGTAACCGTAGCCAACTACTTCTTGACCTGAAGGCCTTTTTTTGTGTCGCTTCTTCTCTAATAGCACCGATGGCAACAGGCTCGAGTTTTGCGCAGTTTTCATGCAATTCGTGAGTTCACTCCACCTCAACAGTTGCTACCGGTGACCCCGAATCGACGGAGTTTGTAGCTGGTAGGCATCGCTCGCTCTCCTTCCCCCTTTGTCCCCCTTCTACCGCCGCCGCTCGCTTGTCCTCTTAATAACAGCTACAGTTGCTTAAGTCATAAACTCATCAAGCGATTCAATTTTTTTCTGTTAAATCTGAAGACGCCTTCGTCCACACGCGTTATATCTTCATCAGCAAATTCGACGTGATCTCATCTGGCTATTGGTTTTTAGGTTCCTCTCTATGGTTAGCATAAAGCGGCATCCAGATCAGTAGTTCTTCGAGAGCAACTAGGGTGACACATCGTCAAGGAAGACCTCCATTTTGCTGGATCGGTTGGTCACTACAAAGGAATGGCAGAGGTTGGAGACGGTTGAATTGCGACGAGATTGTAAATGCCGCAGGTGGAAGCCTCGGAGGCTACACTGAAGTTAGCCTCTAAATCTCATCCATCCATTCTCTTCACGGTTTTACTGGAGCCACAGCCAAACTCCTAGACTAGACGTGATTTCTTCTCCACATTTAAGTGACATTAAAAACGGTTCGGTAAATGGGGCTAAAGAGGATGGGAGTCGAGTCTAATTAGGCCCCTTCATTGCCTCCATTCTGCATTAGGGAGCGTGTTTAAGCCATAAAATGTTTGAGCACACATTGAAACCCCCTCCCGCCTCCTCAGCATCTCTAGATCTCCACACTCCCCTAACATTTCGTCAATAACCATCATCGTGGAATTCAACAGTCGTAAAAAGAAGGAAAGAATTACTAAATTTTTCTCTCCCTCCCGCTCTCTCTCACTCTGGCGGTTCAGCTGCACGTGTAAAAGGTCTAATTACCAAAATTGAAGAGTCCCGTAATAAAAGTGGTTTTGCGGAGGGTATTTTATTCCTTAATAAGTACTTTTTATTGTGGAGTAGAAGTTCGTGAAAATTAATCGCTACAGATCACCGCTAAAATTAGTCAAAGTGGCAGTGAATTCTACCGAGCGAGGGCTAGCTTCAGAATGTCCGTCAAAAAGTGGGAAAATTGACTCGGTGGAAAGGAGCATCAGAGTAAACACGAATCAAACAATCATTTGCATCCTCTGGGGAATCAGTCACCTTGTTAATACTCACCTTTCAGATCAGACAGTAAGAAGAGTGCTTTCGGACTCACTTACGTGTCGACAGCAGGAGCTTCAATTTCTTCACCTGTTAGATGGATAGATAGATGAATGGATGAATCCAAGGAGGGAAGGATTAATGGATGGGCGGATGGACAAATAGTTAAAACAATGGGTTGAAGGGTTTCTTGAACGGAAAAGTTCCCACGATAGGCGAATGACCCCCAAATGAGGGCCCTCCAGAGTACACCGCTCAGCACTAGGAAAATCCCAGTACATTTCATAATCTATTATATACAATAATCACTCCCTTCTCTACAGAAAATGCATTTTTACACTTCTTAAAAACTGAAGAAGGACGTCAAAGTGGCCTAGTTGCTCCCAGACGGTTTTTCGGTGTGTCTGTGTGAATCATTGCCTCGCCTTCCAACTGGGGAGGGAGAAAGTGGCAGGAGAGCACCATGCAGGAAGGCAAGAAGGATTTGAAGCGTGGACATGAAGGCACCATCTGGTTGCGCAACGGCGCCTACAGAGGCACGTGTACTCGTCCACACATTGAGGCCACCTTATTATCCACGTCCACGAACCGTGCCGTGGTGCCAGTATGTGTGTGTGTGTGTGCCAGTGTGTGTGTTCGTACAACTACGTCACCTGTCGACTACGGAGTGGCTTTCCTTTTTTTCCTCCCTCCATAATATGATGGAGGGGGAAGGAGAGAGGAAGGGGACGGCCTCGTGCACACTGGCACACACCCTTCGCCGCCGTCGGATGGCACTCCACTTCCACCGCTGCGTTACATGGAGAGGCACTACGGCCTACCGTATGAGAGAGTGGGTAAGTGGGTGGGTGTACACACCACTGCATTGTGATTTGCACCAAATCATCACACACTGGAGATAGAACGTGACTTCAGTTCCAATCTCAGGAATCCTGAGTATGCTGTGCACTCAACTCAGAGTTTCCTCCTTCCTCTGTCGATCTGTGCCTACCTGCGAATCACTCTTTTGAACCAATTCCTCCTTGTAAGCAGGTCTTCATTAGGCATCGGTACTTTATCTCTCTTTTAAGTCACAGAAATTTGGTGTTCTCCGGATCGCTAAATCGAAAGAAATAACTTAAATCTTCTATTTAATTTAACTTTTCAATTGCAAAAACACCACCGTGTGCTATAAATTGGGTATAATCAATGTTCCCCCTTGTCGACCAATGGAATTCCACTTGGAGGGTGAGAGCAGGCGGGAGAGGGCGAAAGACGGCAAAAAGGAGAGGCGTGAAAATAGGGGGAATTAGGAGCGAGGCAGGTGATAATGCCAACACATTCACCCTGCCCCGCCGCCCGCCTTGTCCTCCCCCTCTAGCCGACCAATCACAGCGCAGGGCGATAATAGTCCGCTTTCAACAGCCTCACATGCACATGGGTGTCACGGGAACATTGGCGGCCAAACACTCGATTTTACAAGTGGGGAATTAAGTAGAGAGCTAATAAAGCGTCCACACCTCTCAAGTAGGCAAACAGCGGTGATTTTCACCTCGCGATCGTTATTACTTAAACCCGCGAAAAAAGGCTTGACCTCAAACCGCGACGACGAGGGAGGTCCGTCTAACGTTACTATACTTGGTTCTCTCTCCTTTTTTTCGAGCGGTGGACAAAATTTTATTACACCTTAATAAAGTTGGGGGTAGGTTTTCTCGGAGTGTCGCAATTCGATATTTTCAAGGTCATAAAGCCGCGAACACTGGAGTCACGAATCACCAATCATCGGGGAGCGGGAAGCAATTTCAAAATAGAGTGTGTAACTTGAGACAGGAGGCAGAAAAAAATTATTTCGTTAATTGCCAGTTTTAAGCATATTTTTAATGACCTTTTAAATTAATAATACTTTTTTGTGTTCTTGGATAAGAATTTGGGGGAGGGAATTTTCGAGTCCTATTTTACCCCAAAAAACACATTTTCGTTAAATTAATTAATTTTACAGAAATTTATTCAATCAAATTTATGAGTTCGTTAATTTTAAGGGAAGCGGTAGGCAGAACATGTGATTTTTGATAATCGCCATATAATGCTACAGGAATTTGAATCGTAAAATTTGAAACCCCGTAGTACCAATAGCAATAGCAGCTACAGCTGCGGCAGTTGTGGGACCCTCGATTTCTTAGAATCATATTTGAGCTTCCTTTCTCTCCCCCTCCTCTCTCTCACTCCGGAGTTGCAATGAAATGGCAATTCACCTTGCCTTAAGTAGGGCCAAAACGCATCCTCCGTGCTACAAAGGCGAAGAGGAAAGAGGTGGCCGGAGGGATGGAGGGGAACGGAGGTGAAGAAGCAGGAGGAGGAGGAGGAGGAGGAGAAATGAGCAGCCTTTTATGTCATGTCATTTCGTTTGTCATTATCTGGATCTCTTAGTTTTGTCTCCTGCTCAAAACAGCCCTCACAATAGGGTGAAGGCTGTTTCATTGGATGAGACGGATGGGGAATGAGTAGGGCAGGGAGGGTGGTGTGGCGGGGGCGATAGTGAAGGCGGGAGGAGAGGCAGCTAGTTAAATTAACCAGCGCCGTGTTTGTGTGTTCAATCTGGCATCGGACAAGATGCTGCGGTCACGATAAGCCTGTCGAACATACAGAGAAATTTATATTGTTATTGTTTGCAAGTGGACATTGGTGGTCTTATCTGACAATCTCTGCCTCTCTCTCGCTCCCCAACCTATATGCCTTCAGGCCCTGGGCAAATACGTTCGCACGCCTGCGTTGCTGGGGTGGGGGAGGCGCTATCCTCAGCCAATGGGCGCGAGAGAGAGAAGCGGGGGGATGGGGATTGGTGGCTTTTATCATCTCGATGAGCGGGAGAGTTAACAATTGTGAGAGGAGGAGGAGAGGGCGAGAGAGAGGGCTTGAATGACGCGGCTAATTCGAACTTTTATCTGATTTTTCTGAGTGGGACGATTAAACTTACTTTTGGAGAAAAGAAATTAATCTCTTGCCTTATTTCTCCCCCGTTAGTTTAAAGTGTTTGCCTCGAGTGGTTATCGTATTACCACCTACACCGAGAATCCAAATAACCGAGGAGGGCGAAATTTAAACAAAACGGCGGCTCACAAACACACACACAGCTCGATGCTAACGGTTAGTGTGAATGGAGCACACACACGAACGTGACGCTGGAGGTGGACTTGCACAACTTGAGAAAATTCTGCGATTTGTGCAAGTTATGAGGATGGGCCTCGTGTTTGTGACTTATCGCCCTCACTTCCCTTAATAAGCTGATCCACTTACATAGGGTTTGGATTGTTTTTCAGGTATGAAAAATACATGTGCGCGCACTCACCAAAGCAGTGTGAGCCGCTGGCACTGGGAGAGCCACTTACTTGAGCTTACACCACTCCTCATTACGATCAGGCGTCTTTCTGGTTAGCGGCGCGCGCATCACCGATCTACGGAGGACCGCATTTACGGCTGTGAAGGGAGGGGGGGAGATACACGGCGGAAGCGAAAGCTAACCGTAGTAAGAAACACCTAACCACCTGTCCGCGATTAGGACTCACAGTCTTCCTCGTGGAGTGATAAATGATGCCAAATTTTATGGGAGAAGTGGCAACAACTAGGGCAGGTGCATGTGTATGCGTGTGGATTTGGGTATGCATGTGTTGACCCCTCCCACTTCCCCTCCCACCGCTCTCTTTCCCTCCGCATTGAACAGGTCTACTTTATAAATCAAAATTTAACATTATTAAGATTTAAAGGAGGTTTGGCAGTGGTACTCACGACTTCGCCAAGTGCACAATGCACCCAGTTACGAATCTCGCTGGTGGTGAGGTTTCTGACAGAAGCTAAATGAGAGGTGATTAATGAAACATTTCTTTCTAGAGCTCTCTCACCGAATCACATGAAACAGTGTAAATACAAGACGTCGATAGCCCTGTGTGGATTTTAACCGATCACTGGGACCTGGCTCAAATAAGTGACAATGTGAATTTCATTACCGCATACGAACAAGTGACAGCTTGATAACCGTTTGAAAGGTATTACCTGGTCCGGCTTAAGTGGACAGCTGGAAGGCTCTCAATCCCACCATCTCACCCAATCAAAACGGTGGAAGAGAAGCAGTTCCAAATTCGTGGATTTGTGCAAAAGTCAGGAAAAAAGAGAGAGTAAAGAAGGCAATTTTATACGACTGAGGTCTCTACAACAAACGCTTTTCACGGTTCCCACCATTATTGACGTGACAAAATAATAAGTAGTGGTCAAGTAGTATCTTCATTCACGACAGCTGATAGTTCGTCTAGAATCCATTTTGGTCAGATTTTAGCCAGAAAATTGGACAGCAATTTATTAAAAAAGAACGAAATCGTTGCCGACAACTCAGAGGTGGAATGAAGCGCAATTCTTGAGTCGCTGTCATTCCATAGCACATATTTGGTCTACTGCAGAACCACGGTCAGCACGAGCCTCCTCGTTTGGAATAAATCTCCTTTCTTTTTGGTCTTAAGCAGTAAACCATCAAACTAGGTGTCGAGAAATTCAAAGAGAAAGTAGACTGGTGATTCAGAGCTTGTTTGACTACCTAGATCACCTTTGGATCGCACCTGGCTCCTCTCCCAATAGCCAGATTAGAACCCCTGGGGATGATGCTAGTAAGAGTGGAAAGGCTTTGAAAGTGCTGACGGTCGCCTGTGCTAATTCCAAAGGTGGAACGGATTGACTTCCTTCTAAAGGTTTACAAATCGGATCTGGGACATGAAAGCGGTTACTTGCATGATCCATATCTGCCGGTGAAGCTGTTTACATTTGGCGACTCTTTAGCATTGGATCATTATTCTTTGAAAATTCTTGAAGCTAAGTTGCCAAAAGGGCCTAAGGGTAGCCTTCAGAAGGTACGGATAGAACTAGCTAATTGAACGTCATATACAAGGGTCTGATCAGAAAGCAAATCTTAATCAAGACTTACTGGAAGCCGTCTCCTCCAAACTTCTGTGCTGCTCAAGCTGTTGAGACCGATGCTGTTGATGATGATGTTGGTGTTGCTGATTATGGTTATGATGGGAGTGATGCTGATGATGGATCTTGCTGCTATGAGATGTTGCAACAGCCTGAGGATCAAGAGAATTCAGCGGGTGTGATGTGATTCCCTCCGATTGATTGGATCCAGGGAAGAAGGAGACGGGAGCAAGGAAGTGGCCAGTGGTTGGATCGAAACCGTACTGACCGACGGTATCGTATCCCACCGTTGTTGGTAGCATACCACCCTCCGATGGTGCCACAACACTTGTAGTGGTGGTAGTGTTGGTGAACATCCCCTCAAGGAATCCCGTGCCATCTGGGTTCGGGTAGCAGCTGAACTGCGACGTCTGGGGGTAGATAGTTGATGATGCTGGGTGACCATAAAATCGATCTGTGGATTCGGATTTAGAATCCTCCATTGGTTCTGATCCAGTCGGTTGTTGACCATTGCAGGCTGAAGTGCACCGAAAGGTGGATAGTACAGTCATTAGATCAGTTGACCTGCACCATTGTCATAACTTTTGCATGAAAGGTGAAATATTTCAGGCAGAGATTAAAAATTTACCAACTCTGATCCGCAAAAGTTGAGACAGGAACATGTGTATGTGTGTAGTGGCTACATGCAGCATGCAAGTGGGGCTGCATTTCCCACTCCATCACCACCACCACCCCGTGGTGTGTTACCTACCATTCTACCTACCTCATCGATGCATCAGCACCATCACCAGCAAAATGCCCTGATGGACAAGTTCACTAAATGTAGCGAATGCTTCTCCCGCTTCACCTTTCTCTCCTTCCCTCCAGCCCTGGAGGCTACACACTCTAACAGGCAGGCAGGTGTGCAAGCACACACACTAGCACACAAACGCAAGTTGTGGGTGTAGGTAGGGACTGGCTTAAGAAAACACCCCATTCTGAACCACGATCACACACCTACACACAAACAACCACCAGAAATTATAGAGATAGAAGGAGATGTCGAGCCTAGAGGCTTTAACACAGCTTCACTTTCCCTACCCTTTACCCCCCCCTCCCCTGTTTCCTATTTTCTTGGCAGCCGTAAGGCTTTGTCATTGTGTCATGAAATTATCTCCTAGAAATTAGACCTATGAGTCCTCTCTGACAGGTAATCGAATTAAAGGAGTGACTGGGGAAATTGGGGTCGTGAATGAAGCAGTTTCTCTCACCCCAGTGCGTACTAAATTGAGCGGTTTTTTTAGCCATCTGGAAAAGTTATTTATAATCTCGCCTAGTTGTAGCTCCTAGAAGACCACACTTCTCCCCCTCGCATATAGTCGACAACTGCAGGCGGAATAAGTAGGAACAAACTACTGTTGGAAGCCCAATTACTGGGCTGTTGCTTCGGTATTCTGTGCCCACTGCTCTGCAGACTAACAGCAATCACAACAGTCCCCATTTTCCGCACATGAGTCTGGTCTTATAACAGTCCTGAGGCATATGCACACCAGCGTCTGCTCGTGGATATGTGTTTGTATGCCCCAGGGGAGACGTAAAGGATCTAAACCCAACGCTTTACCAGCAGTCAATTTAATACTGTGCTTAGGGTGGTTGCTCTCTCCCTCTCTGTCTGTCTTTCCATCTGTCTTTCTCTTCAGCTGCCTTCTAAGACTACAGGATTAAAGATGCAAATCAGACTCAAGCCCATATTCCTCTGGGTAGAAGTGTGGCTGGATTAGGAAGAAAACAATTAACTTTTGGCTTCTTTGAGTGTAGACCTTAATCTCTGATGAAGTGGAGCGGTCAAAGAGGGTAGAAAATATTACAGTTTGCTTGTCACGAAATTCATTTGCCTTTTGGACAAAAATTTTCCTGACAATTAGTCAGAAGTTAAATGATCAACTTCCCAATCCTCTCTGCAACCTATCGAAAGATAAATGGGACGATTATAATTGGCCTGAGAGGCGATGGCACTTAACTATATGACTTGAGTAGACAAAGCAGCCTTGGGAAGATCTTCCTCCCCTCCACTTGATAAAGCAGAGGAAAGTTGGCTTTTGTTGCCCCGCTTTACAGAGGCAAAATTTTTCAGATTAATAAAGCAGCAGATATCCACTTCTTTCAGCATTTAAAGCATTAGTACATCGAATCATATCATGGTCGTCAATCAGGTAGTAGTTAGCATCCTGAACTCTGGCGGTACGGTATCTCATGGAGTAGGGTTTAGCGCGCTGAACAGCTCGAAGAAGTAGTTATCCATGGAAAGACAGACATCAGATATGAGCGGTGAGAGCCAAGATGTATCGGAAATGTATCGACAGTGCCTGTGTTGTATGTGTGTGTGTACGTAAATGCAAATCCACATAAATGCACGCACACATATAATGGTTCGTAGGCAGAGGACTTGACTGTTGTACATTTTAATGCTCTCCTGGACGCTGTGGACTCTGAAGACAATGGTAAATTGGCAATGAGGCACCCCTTTTTCTCAAAACTCCCCCTCATTCCTCCTCGGCAGCTCCATATACGTATGTGTGTGTGTGTGACTAAATGCCTTGAACAAGGGCAGTTATGATTGTTTTTTGATCCGGAAACATGAACAGCCGTGACAGCAGCAGCGCCAGTAGCAGAAGTGAGATCGGTAGAAGCTTTAGAATGTAGTCAACACATTTTACTGATCCGTCTAAGTTGGCACACTTTCTCCTCTCTTTGAGTTAAAGGGCTATACTGCTTCCTTCACATTTAAAACTAGGTAATAACCAGCTGTGAGGGGTGTAGTCAGTCATCAAAAGATACTAATCGTATACCGAATTCTGATATCGAGGATGTAATCAACTTGGCATTTTTGACTAAGTTGCCTCTGATGGGTCTATGCTATGCAGTATAACCCTTTCTATTGACAGGTAAAAAATTAAAAGATTATCCACTGGTTTAAATTAAAAATGACCATGCTTCATTCAAAATCAATTTAAAAATATTAAAAATTACTTACATAAGTAAGGCTGAGGAAGATACGAAAATCCACTTAAATCCTTATTTAAATCTCCTGGGGCCTGAAAACAGGAAGTCAAGTAAAACGGCTGGAAAGCGGCATCATCCGCCTTTTCGTGCACGTCTTGAAGTCGGTCCTCTAGCTTGAGACGTTTTGAAGTGCAAGCGTCTGTAACACTCCACACCACCTGGTCATCCTGGGGCCAAGACAATAAACTAGAATCCAAAAGTGTGGATTGGTGGTCATTTGGAAACACCATTGAAGTTGATAAGGTTCCGGAGGTAGTGTGAGGTAGGTTATCCCAGGAGAATTGCTGATCCATTAGCCCAAAAAGGACTAAAAATAACTGCATAAAAAAGTTACCCAAAAAAACTAATGATAACCCTTAATAGTAAAAAAACCATTTTGGCTATTGTAAAAGGGGAACTTTAAAGCTATTGTTGTTACGAGTTCAAAAAATTAAAAAGCGAAAATTCATGCAAAATTAAAAAAGTTAGGAAAAAAATTATTAACAAAATACCTTAAAAAATTAAAACAGTTAACCAAAATATTAAAAGACACCAAGTTTTTTGTTTACCGGTTTATATAGCCTGGCTGCTAAACGGTTTGCGCTGCAACAAGCTAACGCGCAAGCTGGCGCACTCAATAAACCGCAATTATTAAAAAAAATAAAACAAAATGAGGCCGTTAAATTCATTATAAAAAAATTAAGCGTTAAACACTTAGAAGCACAAAACTTAGCTTACACGGCTAATTTAAGTTGGCAATTAGTAGCAAACTAATATTTTACGAGTATTGCCTCAATTGCGGCCACCACTTACACTACCACGCAAAATTTTTGCAATTCACTATATGCTACACAACAATGCAACCTCTTTTAAGGCTAAAAAAATTTGCTTTAAAAATATGCATATTTAGCAGTTAGTAGATGCTGGGGAACTAAAGAGACCCAGAGGCCAGATACACAAGTGTAATACAACCGTGGTTTATCCCCCGGTATTGGTGAGGCACCACTTTTGTATTTCTAATTCGGCCTCCTTGTACCTCGTTAGGCGGACTGGCCTTTCGAGCCATGCCAATAGCCCGGACACCTTCTCCGTGCTGAATATATATTCTGCCCGAGTATTGTGTCTTCTTTCGTCTTCAGGGAGTGCCGGGACGCTACATTGGTGGCAGCGGAAAGCGAACCCGATCTTGAAAGACATGTATCCTGATTTTCCACTTCTGCGTGATAAGCCTTAGTAGAGCGGAAGGAGTACACATGCTACGGATGGGAGAATGGTTATGACTCCTAACAGAAGGGTTGATGTTGACATCTACCTTCGGCATCTCTCCCAGTCCCGTGTTCTGCAGAAAAGCTATTAACAACTGAAGCGACACTAGCCGTGAACCATCTGGAAGTTTCGTTACGGATTTCCCCTACCGTCCCCCATGGACCCGTTTTAAATCTTTAATTCCCTTATTCAAATATGCTTTTAGGCCAGTGTTCCTGCATCTATCTATGGACACGCATGATGGCCGGCGCAGTTCCCCGTCCTGAATGAAATCCCTTAACCGGACGAAACCCCAGATCCAGTCAAGCTGCCAAGAGGGATCAGTGACGTTGAGGTCAACTATCCCCTCAGTTGCGCGCTAATTTGGTGACTGGCACGGTTGGCTCGTGGGTTTTTTTTTTACTGCACCGACTACGTTGTAATGGCTGACGCGGGAGGTTGACCTGTGGGAGCGCCGGGGACGACGCTCAAAAGAGGAGAAAGGCTATGTAATACGATAGTGGTTTATCCCTCGGTTCTGGTGAGGCGCCACTTTTGTGCTTCGAATTAGCCCCCTTGTACCTCGCTGGGTGGGCTGGCCTTTTGGGCCATGCCAATAGCCCAGACACCTTCTCCGTGCTGAATATATATTCTGCTCGAGTATTGTGTCTTCTTTCGTCTTCAGGGAGTGCTGGGACGCTACATAGGGCTATCCCTTACTAAAACTATGAGCCAAACATACAACCAACGCATCACAATTAAGTTGCGCACTGGTATATAATGCCTGAGGCATGCTTGTTATATCGCTTGCTTAGGTGCTTGAAAAGATACTCAAAAATCGTTTTACAAGGAATTTTGTTGAATGTTAGGAAGAGAAATTTTTACCATTACTTTAAATTTCCGACATGTGGCATGTACTTGTATGCCCAGAAGTTTTATAGAACTCCCTCATGTCTGTGCCCTTAAGTACTAAGTTGTGGTTTCTGCAAATCCGCAAAGTGCACGAATAAGTTGATATTACTTGAGTACTGGCGCAATCACTCTAATGCGTTATGGATTTTGAACAATCTAGGATACTCACCTCCTTGACATCTTTCTAAGACATTTTGCCGTTTTATCTGAATAAAACTTTAATATAAGTATTGTATTTTCATTTGTATTATTTACTGATGTGTTAGGATTTAATTAAGTGAGGATTTTTTATCAGGCCAACCCAAGGTCATATGGGATACATTTCTGACGCGTTGGTCTTTGACCTGCCGAAACGCATTCTTATGTGTAGGCCTTAGTATGCCTTGGCAATAATATCATGCTTACTTATTTTCACTATTTAAATGCAAAATGACCGTGTGCTGACTGTTAGGGCAGACCTCAAATTGATTTGGAACACACATGAGATTACAAATTTTCAAGGGAAGCCACATTTTCTCTTATTTGTTGCACATCAGATTTGGCGATATAGGTGCGGCTGGATAGTGTATCCGATATCTTTGCATCCACTTTTAGATGCTGCTAATCTTACTTCTTAATCTAGAACAAAGAACCGTTTGCGATGACTGAATCTTATTGTTTCCCAGTTGGCGACCCATCAGCGAAAGTGAAAAGGCTCCAAACTCTCAGTCATCACGAGGAACGTGTTTGGTGTGTTTCATGGAATAATGCCGGCACGATCCTAGCGTCCTGTGGAGAAGATAAATCCGTTTGTCTCTGGGTTACCGAAGGTATGCTTTCAATCTTCTAGTCCTTTTTCATACTGTCATTGTTCTTCATAACAGCTTTTTTAATGTCACTTTCTTATATCACTACCGTAACCTTTACTTTTACCTGTCTCTTTTTTCACTGTTTTTCCATCGTCTCTGAAGGTCCTACATGGAAGTGCGCCTTCTCTTCGACTGATAACCACATTCGCACTGTTCGACACGTGTCATGGTCTCCAAGTGACAGGTACTTAGCTACTGCTAGTTTCGATTCAACCGTTGCTATATGCCGTGTTGAGGTAACAGACGGAACAATCGACCTGCTATCTATCGCTATTTTGGAGGGTAGGTTCACCTGATGCCAATTGGAATGTTTATGCATCTTTGTCAATACATTATCTTGGGTCATAACTTCCTGCTGTATGAGCGGTCCCTTTAAGATACTTCGCACTCATCCCTCTTGTGAGAAGACGCACTTTGGTATTTGAAATGCTTAGCTGGACCAAAATCGGTGGATTGTAAATTCATGATTGAGGGAGGCCCGGTTTCAGTTGCATACTCCATTTCCATCTTGACTAAGCAGGCATGAGCGACCATGTCCACTGAGAGGTCGTTTACTTCGAGTGTATTGCCCTATTTGGACAGCATGCTGCTCTATTTAAGTTATCCGTATGATAGCGTTGACACAAAATTGGTTAATTTGACAGGTTTAAGGGTCTTCGGTCTACTCTGTTCCTATATCCGGTATGTAAATAGAAAGCCTGGTGTCTTACTTTCACTGGCTCTGCTCGAACTGGGTGCCTGTTGCCGAAGTTATCCTTAGTCGCTAGGATCTGAGACCTGGGCATTCTTCGTATTTTACATCAATCTCCGTGGTGCAGTGATGAGTGGAAATACTCTTTTGCGCCGTCAAGTGGGAATAAAAGTTGGACATTCTCCTCACTGATTTACTTGTCCTTGCTCTTTCTGAAGAGGAAAGGGCACTTCTTACTCACATAATTGCATTGTATTGAGTACATGCATCCAAGCTGTACTTATTTGGCTTCCAGCGAGAATTTTACAGTGGTTCACGAGGCATTTCGGTTATCTGACATTCCTACTTTTTATTAATGCATATTTCACACTTATTGGGCATCTTTTTCACCTTCAAAAATATCCTCCTTTTATTTTCACTACCATTTTTGGGCTAAAGGCCATACCAGCGAGGTCAAATGTGTGACCTGGTCGCCCTCCGGTTGCCTCCTGGCCACGTGTGGACGCGATAAGAGTGTGTGGATCTGGGAATTCGATGACGAGGAGGACTTCCAGTGCGTCAGTGTCCTTCAACCCCACCGTGGTGACGTCAAATACGTCTTTTGGCATCCCATCAAAGAGGTATCCTATTTGTTCCATCTGTTGCCTGCCTTTTTCTCGATTAAGTTGTGTGGTAGCGCCCCGAGTCATTTCCGAGGACCATAGCACATTTTCTACTTAATTTTAAGAGGAACTGTTAAGTTGAAACTGAAATGAACCTTATGCCATCAATTTAATCGGTGGATACTTTTCGATTAAAACATGGTTTTTTTGTTATTTTGGTAGAAAAGGCAACCTCTTTATTGACCATACTTTTGATTTTACTTGACTTGCTCTTCCTGACAGATGCTGGGTTCCACAAGCTACGACAATACAATCAACTTGTACAAAGAGGAGCTCGACGACTGGGCAGTTGTTTGTAAATTGAGTGAGTTGGTTGAAGCTCCCACTTAAGCAAAGCTGGAATAGTCACATTCATCTACTCATCCTGCTTCTTGCCCCCTGCAGTTGGTCACGAGTCCACCGTTTGGAAGGCGGAGTTCTCACCAAACGGTCAGTTTTTAGCCTCCGTAAGTGAGGACACAAGCATCAAACTTTGGCATGAATTGCGTAAGTTAGCTCATTTTTTCTACAATCATAACTTATTTTTCTTTAGCTGATGAAAAGTCTCCCCATTGGGTATGTTTTAAAACCCTAGCAGGCTACCACAATGCACCTGTATTCGGTCTGGCCTGGTAGGTTTATTAAGGCAAGACAGACAAGTTAACGTCTTCTGAATCTAGGACTCCCTGCGGTCACTATTTAGCCACATGTGGTGGTGATAACTCCGTCTACGTGTTCCGGATAAATCTTACCCCAGGCAACCTCGTGAGTGAGGTTTCAACTGAGGATGTGGTAGTGTGGCAACACCTTTCCAAATCCCACGGAAGTGATGTAAACTGTGTAGCATGGAGGCCGAAGATATGCGAGCCGAAGGACGCCGTTATGAGGGCGGCCTATCTGCTCGCCACAGCTGGTGATGATCGGCAGGTGAACTTGTGGGGCATGCCTCTCGACCTTGACTCAATTTGTCATGCGCTTCATGCACAATCTGAGGAAGATGAGCTTGATGTAGATTGAGCGCTTGACATTTATTTTGGTATATCAATATTTCGCAAGCGTATTCCCCTCCATCTAAGCCTGGCTCCAAATTTTGGGGTATGAAATGTGGATTTCTGTAGCGTGCTAGTAAGCATTGCTGTAGTTTCATGCAGTCGGGTTTTGTTTGGTCTTCGGGCGGTCGTCTAGTGGCGCTCTTGTAATGCTGTCTCAGACAGTCTAGTGGGACTGACCCCCAATGCCTTCTTGGGGATGTTAGATTTCGGAGATGCCAAGGCTAGTTTCGATTCGGTCACGATTTTCCCCGGTATGGTGCCCCTGAGGGGGGTTGAGTCTGTTCCTGTAAGAGGTAGAGTTGGGTATGCATTTAACAGAGCTTCTTGCCGCAAAATGTGGTGTGATAGAATAGAATGGCTAAAAGTTTCCGGGTAAAAGCAAGGGAGTAAGTTTGGTAAGGTGGTTATTTAAAGGTTTCTTATAATCATATTTGACTCATCAAAGACCACTTGGATGAGTAACACCATGGCGTAAGTAGATGACCCTATTTGTCGCTAAAATATTTAATGTGTGTTCAAGAAAGTACATTATAGTTTTAAACTACAGAATTGTGATTATAAAGGGCCAATGTTTTAAATAGTAGACTTATCGCCACTTGATTTGAACCCTGTGTAGAATTGGCCTTGAAAATGGACGAGTGCCCTGTCGGTGGTGGGGATCGACGTTCATTTGAAAAAGACGGGTATTTTGGCGGCAGTGAGACTGTAATTTGCTACCTTACACCCTGATTACTCGTTAACTGCTTCAGAATCTAATGATATGCAAATATCCCTCAGTCGTTTACCGTTCTGTAGCAAAGTGCTTGGAGGCAATAATTGCACCTTGTATTTAAAATTTATAGCTTATTTTGAGGTGGATTTATGTAGCTCTACTCCTAACCACCTCTCGAGGCTCATTCTCAAAGTCAGATGTGTGCATGACACTTGTGACGCGAAGGTTTTGCTAGTTGCTCGAACATATCCGCTGCGCTTTCGCATTTGAGCTATAATTCACTCCATTTTCCAATTTTTTTTTATTCGTCCTACTTATGCACTTTTAACGTTTAGATTCGTGTCGGCATCAAACGTCTACCAGTTGACCAGGCGGATGCAGCTGCAGCACAAAAGAAGTTGAGACTCGATGTAGTAGCGGAACAAGCACGCTACATCGAGGCGATCAGTCAGTGGAATGAGGATGATCAGGTTGAGCTCTTCTGTCTCTTGCTCTCCCACATGTCGCAAACACAGCGATCTCGGATCAATAGCAGAATCCGTCTTTTGGCATCCCATCAGAGAGGCTCACTTTTGTTCCGGTCTAGCGCCTGAGAGACATCTCTGGAGATTGTACAGTCTGCGTGTTCGGAGTAATGCATAGTTGGTTTAACCGTTTTTGTACATTTGTACCTTGAATACGGAATGCACATTTCTGATTCCAAATTTTGCAGTGTTGTGTATCGATCGAGAAGGGAAGGAGATCTCAAACGGTAACGCTGTCTGACCTTCTTAGCTACGGCGTTTAGGTTGCTCTATGATATCTTTACGAGGTACGTTAGACGCACAGAAGGGCTGAGATTAGTGCCAGGAGTAGATCAGGTTGGCGGCGAAAATGAAAGTATCTGTGGTTAACCATACAATTAAATCAAAGAGCTAGTAGCACCATGGCTTGTAATGAGCCTTGGAAGACATTTTAGAGCTGTTATGCGTAACTCTTGGTTAGTATCGGAGTGTCTGGAAGACGCGATAATTAGTAGGGGAAGATAGTAGAACACGTATTCGAAGCCGTGACCCTGCGGTGATTTCCCTCTGGTATTGGCCGCCGTCGTGTGTTTCGTTAATGCTCTTTGCTGGCAGGCTTTGGTGAAGAGGGAGTAGCCATTGTCTCCGACGATTCGCTTAGACATGAACCGGCTTTGAAGCAGTGGTGGGAGACGGCGCATTCTTTTCGGGGGGTGGTGGGTGCTGAGGGTGCAGGAGGGCTGGAGGCTAGTGACAGGTGGGCCCCATCGGCACCCGCGTAGATCTCAAAAGTTGGGAGTGGAGGACTCGTACTGCGTACCTTCAGGCCGGGTTGGTCAAAATTCTGACACCATTACACTTCAAAGTAGGCGGGTTGTTTGTATAGCTAAAGGTGTGTAATGAAGCCACTATTATTGTCGGAACTCACCGCTGTGCCGACGTCTACCGTTACTGGCTTCGACTAGGACTCCATTAGTGACAGCCTCAACGTCAGTCTGTGTAGGAACAACCCGAATGCTTGGACGGTCATGTGAGCACCAGGTGAGTCATTTGGAGGCGCTAACCAATGTCCACAGCTCATAGCCATGTCTCCGATTCCCTTTTTTGTTGCACCAGGCTCTCACTAAGTGGCAAATTCCCAGCCTCTGTGCGAGAAAACAGAACCTTCATCCTCCGACACCAATAGCGTGAGTCTCCTTCCCTCCGTTAGCTCCACCCAACGGCAGTTACCTATCGTATACATCGGTTGCTCTAATGTGACCCGGACTCAAGTGACAGCGAAGCCTTTGTCCACGATTTCCTGTATTCCACCTTTTAGCAACTTATCTTGTGGCCACCATTGGTGGCGGTACTATTTAGACTATTCCCATTCAGCCGTCACATTGGTGGCGGCAGTATGCAACATTTCTGGTTTCGGTATCCGTATGCTAAGTCTAAAAGTAGGGAAAGAAAAGTGTCCTCTGTGGATGGTTGGATCGATGGAGACTCGCAGCAAGGGGCTTACTAAAGCCACACCCGCATAGTAATCCATGTGATATTCATACGTCGACGCAAAAAGAAAAAAAACCTGCATTAGAAGAGAAGTTCACTAATTTGTCCAAAAGACTAGGCAAGGCACCAGAGTTGATTGGCCTTTTCGTCGCCCCAACCTGCGATCATTGCCACGGCGCTCAAACCTTCCCATGGGCAGCTGAGGCAGGGTCTGCACCTCATAGCGGTGGTGCCTTAACCCATGCGAATCTTCGTCGTCTCTTTGGCTACCTCTCATCACTCGTGCACCCGAGTTCCTTGTTTGTTAGCACCTAAGCTTCTTCAACTTGCCAATCTGATTTTTTCATCTACCGACATTACTCTCTCTTTTCCTTTCGCTTGCGTGACTTGCACTAGCAGTTCTTTGAGCTGTAATTGTATCTCTGATAGAAACTGCGCCTCTTGGTACTATCTTGGCATCGGCTTCGCTGCGCGATGAGATGATAGGGTTATAATTGGCCAATTCAAATTTATCCTCTATTAGGTCGCGCAGACTCGCGGTCGGCAGGTTTGCATTTGACTATCAATTATTTGAAAATAAAAAGGTCGATTTGCAGTTGCGACGATCCAGGCGATAAATGAGGTATTTTAGTGGAGCCTTAGCAGCTTTTTCGAGACACAATTGGCGGCTTATTAAATTAAGTCTTACTAGAAACAGTATTCCTGTCCGTGGTGCAGTGCACTTCTTCGCGCAGAATAACGCTTTTAATTCTAGGTCTTTAAAGATTAAAAGACTAACTTAAGTGTGGAATTTAACGCCAGGATATATTTAAAGAAGGGATAGATATCCCAATCCTATTTCACCAATTGGCACGTAAGATGCATTAGCGAGAAGATGTACGTCATTTATAGTGTAAAACGGTAGTTGTTTAAGCATCTGTCCTAGTCAAGAGCGACTTTTGACTTGGCCATGTACGACACCAGATGGGCTAGCTTTTGAGCTGTGCTAGTAGACCTAGTACCTTTTGTATGACGAATATATATGTACATATTCTACCGTCTTCAGAAATGCCTCAGAGAGCTATAATAGAGGTGCGCGGGGCCGCCAGAGTGGCACGCCCTATTTACGTTTTTCTTATAAACTGATGCTTTCAAATTCCCCATTGATACTCAAAGCACTGTGATAACTGAGCACCTACTATATTCGTTACATATATTTTTAGTAGACGAAAACCAAAACTTGTGTTGCAGCTTTACAATGGAAGCCCACGATAAAACCTTGGCGACGCCGGCAGGCAAGCAGAGCCAGTACTTGCCTTCAAATGAGGCACCACATTCGTTTCTATGTTCGACTTAACGGCTTTCCTTACCGCGTCAAATTGCACGTTGATAGTCACCAGCCATATACGTGACAAATTTAAATTAGCTCATAGTGCAGTCAAATAGTACAGAAGGCCAATTTGTCCGATAGGCTCCTTAAGCGTGAAATGTCCCAGTGAATCCTAACCGATATGAACCGAGTTGTCAAAAGATGCCTTGGGAGTAAAAAACCATGTACGTGCTTGCAAATGCATGTAAAAAAGGTATGTTTTGCAATTATTCCTATATTTTATAGGCCAAAATATTGAGATCAAATATCTGATTTTTCTCTACTATAGAGTGTAAGCTCACTGCTTCGTTTTTTTATGGCATAATTAGCTTGACTTTTCTAAAGCAATAACAGTTTTTGCTTTTTAGTTTCAAAAACGACTCCATTATACCTTGTTCTGGAAATATTTGTTTTAGTTTGTATATCTGGCAGTCCTCACTTTGACCTGAGTTGATTGTCTTTGAAATGGGTGATATTCCAGTTGATGATAGAGAGTCACGTCTTCTATCTGAAATTGGAGGACATTTCGCACCCTTTGAAAATGCAAGTTGTCAGTTAGTGCACTGTTATCTTCGCTATCGTCCCCATGAATTACTTTGGTACAACGTTTCTTGAGTCTTTTATTGTGGCAACACTAGTTTAAGATGGGAGTTGTACTGCCTTTCAAATTGCGCATAATATTCAAAGTCGTTTATTAAAGCATTTTCTTGGCGAGTCAAGATTTTGGGAACGTCGTTTTTAATTTGGGCTTTCTACTAGAATACTTTCGAAACGCAGAGGCCTACTAATTTTTTGCGCATTCTTTGGGGGAAGTTTTCAATGTGCTTTTTGTACAGCAATCTCCTCCCGTTTGTCTTTTGATTTGCTAGTTTCCGTTTCAGGCTTGTTTTCATTTGCACTAACGCATATCTTCTAAATGTACTTAGGCTCTTCCTAGTTTGCCTATCAGCATAAAACGCTCCTCAGGAGAGGGGATGGACATAGTTACAGTCCAGAAGAAGACGCGAACTGAGGTAGTCACTGAGCAAAAGTGTTATGTTGAGGCGTTCAGTCAATGGAATGAGGACGACCAAGTTGATTTCCTTTGCCAACTGCTTTCCCGCATGTCACACGCACAACACTCTCAGATCAATAGACTCCTGGAGCCCCTGCTCCAATGTGACATCGTCACAGCCCTACCAACTCGCGGTGTGTCAAATATATCAGCTGACATCCTTTCCTACCTCGATGCAACCTCCCTTCTAGCCGTCGAATTGGTATCCAAGGGCTGGCAGACTATTGTTGTCCGCTACCAACTTTGGCGCAAGCTGATCTCGCGACGCATTGAATCCGATCATATGTGGCGCGGGCTTGCCGAGCGTCGCGGTTGGCTCTCATTCATCAGTTTGCCTGACCCAACTATTCTCTCATCACTCCTGGAACAGCGTCTGTCCTTGTTGAACTGCGGACAGGCACCGAAACGGGGACTAGAGTTCCCCCCAATCAAGTTCTCCACTCAGGCACAGCAACCGACTCCGTTTGGCGACAACTGGAATTTGCTACCAGCTTCCCTCACCTCAACAGCAGTTGATGCGGTGGTGACTGCCGCTTCCCCTACGCCTACCTATTCTCAGTCTTGTTCCCATGAGAAAATGATGCTTGCACATCGCTTCTATAAGCAACTTTATCCTCGTATTATTCGTGACATTCGTGTGAGTTTACTTAATTGGATTAAACTCATTTTTGACATGGTTTTATTGTAGTGCTAAAGAATGTATCCAATTGCCTCATTTATTGCGGGGTCAGGTGACTGGCCTATCTCATGTAAATTCGCTTTTATGGTAATGTGAAGGCACTAGGATCGTTCGAAATCGTGGATTACTTTTTCCTTACTTTTGCGCACAACCTTTCTGCGGAGAGATTGTCGTACTTTTAGTGTCCTTAATAGGTAAGTATGGAAGTAATTTTTGCCCAACAGCTTTTAGCTGTCTCTTGTCAGCCGAATTACCGGCTTTCTTAAAACTCTGTTCCATGTCTTTAAACCCAAATTCGTTTTGTGTTAACATACACTTTCACCGCTTCTTAATAACACCCTCGTATACCGCCCCACCAAGTGGTCGTAAATCACCGGTTAACGGGGGATCTAGCTCCCACTCTGAGCCACTCCGTGTGGTCATGAGGAGTCTTGAGTTCTGGAAATTTTCACAGTGTGACTTCAATATTGGAGCGAATGTGAGAAATCAGGACTTTTGGAGTACCCTTTCGGAATTTAGTATGTTCACACACACAGTAAGAGTTCTCAAAGGCACCACGGGTATGCATACTGGCTCTTCGTTATTTTTGCTCAGTTTCGCTCGCTCTCTTTAGTCTCTATTCCTTCAGTGATTAGTGGTTGTGCCGTTGACTAGCGTTTTCTCGACTGGGGTTCAGTAAAGTGGCTAAACCCAGTTCCAGCTACTCCGTACCAGCTTTATCCGCTTCGGACAGCGCTGATTCCCCATAACTGCAATCCCCATAGCTTGTTAATTACTTCCTGTTTTTCGTTAATAGACATTTGAAAATAGCTCTTTTACAATCGTGTCGGTTTGACATACTAGGGCATGAATGAAAGTAGCTGAACGCTTCAGTTGGCTTCTCTTTCCTTCTCATGAAACGAGCTCAACCATTAGAGTTCATCTTCCACCAATTAACCTCGATGTACTTTCAACTTTTACTTGCTGGTATTTCTTTAGCCGCAGCCCTCACACTTACTGTTGGCTGCCTTTTTTAACCAGATTCTATTGCCTTTAAACCTCCTTTTGGATATGTGTTTCTTCTCATTCTCGATGTTCTGTAAGTGTGGTCCCAGTAAAGCATCCTGTGAGATCAAAGGTGGCCGTGTGCCATTTTTAGTCGCGTCCTCCAATTATCTACGTAATAGTCACTGCCTAGCGTGCATTCGTGGGCGAATTCCGTGTACTTTTTCGCCTCTGAACTTTTTACTGACGCGTACACTCAGGTGACCACTCAGGTCAGAGCTGCCGACCGCATTACGCATATCTCCTTCTCCGCGTTTACTTCCTACTTGTCATACCTTAACACTACGTGTGACTCGCTGCGTGGGCTGACAGTGGTTGATGTATGTGCCAGGACAACTCTTGTCTCACAAGACTTCAAATTTAAAAACTGTTTTAGCGCATCAATGACAACTGGAATCACGGTCGTTTCCGGCTTACCCGTATCCGATGTCACAGTGACACCTCCAAGGGTGTCTACTGCCTGCAATACGACTCGGAGAAGATTGTCTCAGGCCTGCGTGATGATACCATCAAGGTGTGGCGCCGTGTGGGCACCTCGTCAACCAACCCAACCTTCACCACCTTCGCTGCGGGTGATGTTCCCGCTGCCACAACGTCGGCAGAGTCAATAACTACGGCGGAGGGACGCGCCGAGAGAGCGGAGGGCGGCGCTACGGCAGCGACCGAAAACGAAACCTCTCAGTCTGAATCCGACGGTTACCAATGTACACAGGTTGGATTCGTTTTTTCGCAGAATAGAAGGAGAGTGAATAGAGGAGGGTAACAATATCACTTACTCCTTCTAGGTGCTGCGAGGTCACACCGGGTCTGTGCTCTGTCTGCAGTACGAGGGCAACCTGTTAATTAGCGGTTCCAGTGACTCTAAAGTGCGCATCTGGGATCTCTCCACAGGCGAATGTCTTCACATCCTTGACAAACACTACGAGGCTGTGTTACATCTACGCTTTCGAAATAATGTTCTTGTCACGTGTTCAAAGGTGAGCTTGCTTTACCTCATTTTCACTCGCCTCTGACTTGTCTAAACTGTCCTAAGTATCTTAGCGTCAGTTGATCCCCTTTAGGCTTGCTTTTACACATTTTCCATTGATTCAGTATAGGAGATAATTGCCTTGTTCTTTCAGTTCGCTTGTGTGTATCTTCCGGTGTCAGCTCGTTTCTGTTTTACCCACTCCTTGTTTGATTCGTTCAGAGGTGTGGTCTGATTACGCCGCTTTCGGCACATTTTGACCGCGGTGCTGTGTCGCCGCCACCTCGTGCGCTTCATTTTCACATAAATCTTAATTACCTCGGTCTAGGCGAGAGGCGGTAAACGGCAAGTGGTTTTTGGGTAAACATTAATTATGTTAAATTTAATTTAGCCTTAATATGACTGAACCCGTATTGTGCCGTGGGAGGCACTGTTCACACGCCATGTGTCCTCATTTTACAACTTCTCCCCCACCTTGCCATTTCTCCCATGCTCCCTCTCCTCCATTCCCATGTTTGTTGATGGATGAACTTCTTCGGCGCCATTAGGTACTTTGAGACCAAGCTTAACTGTTTTAACGTCTGTTATGTGTGACGCCCCTATTTTATTACCTGTACTCCCAGTTTGAGTTGACCTTTTGCATGCAATCGTGTTGGAAGTAGATCGATTGACTTTAAAACAATAAAATAGGTGCAAGGTGATCCTGATCTGTGAGGATAATTGCACTTTTTGCCTTTCGGCTCGCAGTAAAATCGGTCAAAAGAAGTCATGGTCACGCTTTCAAGCAGTGCAAAATGAACTTGACCGTAGTGATTCACTTTCATCTTGTGATTGTTAACAGTGTGTGCGTATACCTCTATGCTTGTGTAGGATCGTAATATCGCCGTTTGGGACATGGACGCGCTTCCGAAGGAGATTCACCTCCGTGTCATCCTCTCCGGTCATCGCGCAGCTGTCAACGTGGTGGATTTTGACGAGCGCTACATTGTCTCAGCTAGTGGCGACCGCACCATCAAGGTAGGTAAAAATTCTTGAGAAAGACTTTTGTCCGAAATTGCGGCTCCTTAGAGCGTGTTGTAGGACCTTCTAGTCTGGAAGTAGCCTCATGGACACTATTACCATAGGTTAAACAGATGGGTTCGTTTTCTGTGCACTTCCACGATAGCTACACATCGATCGGGCCTTCCAAGCGGTTAGTAAATGTTTATATCAATGAGCGCAAAGGCTGTGACCTGGCAACCGCCACGGTTGAGGTCATCATTCCCGCTTTAGCCTGAACATCCTACCATCGCACTGTGGATAAGGTTAGATATGCGGGAATTGGGATTTGACGCTTTAGTTTTCACTGGCAATCAACTTCTCTCACTACCATGGTTGCTTATCAGTGCCTTAATGATTGGTGTCTGGGATGGACTGGTCCAGACGTAAGACAAGTGCGTAATGGCACTCGTAATGGGACATACTTGTCACCTACAACCTTTCTTTCACCTATCCGATTTCATTTGAACATGCCTGGTATGCGCCTCCACAGAAATTTGAAGGTTTCCGTCAGGCGTAGTTCTAGAAAGGCCTGAATTTTTGTCCACTTTGGATGTTACTCCCTCGCAACGGAAATGAAAAGTGGGTGAAAAATTATGAAAGGCTGTTTTACTACCCGAATCTTTAGGTGTGGCAAACGGACACATCCACGACGAGTCCTGTGCGCACGCTCTCCGGTCACCGAAGGGGCATCGCATGTCTGCAATACCGCGCGCCTTACGTCGTCTCGGGCTCCTCCGACTTCACCATCCGCATTTGGGCCATCGAGACGGGTGTCTGTTTCCGCGTCCTCGAGGGCCACGACGAACTCGTGCGCTGCATCCGCTTCGACTCTAAACGCATTGTCTCCGGAGCCTATGATGGGTGAGCTCTTGTATTCCTCCTTTCCATCTTTTAGGTGCTTATTGGTGGAGCGAAAGAACTTTATCACCCGACAGCGTACAACTAAACTTGTTTATCACACAGTGCTTTGAAAGGGCGGTAAATCTAGAGGCATCGGGCATCTTATATCAACTGACACAAGACCCCACTGTGGCCTATTCGTTCAGAGTTCAGAATACGTGTTTGATCCTCTACTTATTATTAGCATCGTCACTTGTTGTTGAGGCAAACGTAGTCTGTCTGCCCGGTTGAAGATAGCGTTTGCTGATGTCTCGAACTGTTTAAGTTGCTGTACGGCTTGACGGTTTGGAAGCTATCCACCAATCATAACTAAGATGGCGTGCTTATTGGCATGATAGATCTTACCAACACTTCGTGCATACCTTGAGATGAATGAATTCGTTTTTTTTTCACGCCCCATCGTCAGCTCAAGTCCTCCACTTGAGAGATTAGGATTGTCTGTTAGAGTGAGATTGGTAAGGTTGCGGAAAGGCTTTACGACCCTTCCCGTTTGAAAAAATTCCCAACTGTCTTTAGTCTTCTGCCGCTCTCTTTTCCATTTTTACGACGCTGTTATAAATCAGTTGGTAGTTTTCGCATCAACACATCTACACCATCGGTTTCGGGGAAAAACTGGAACTGGGGTGGGAAGGCACTGCCGCAGTTGTTCCTCCACACATTCTTTCCTGTGTCGTTGTCACTGGGGAATGCGATTTGATGCAGTAGTTTAGGCAGATCGCCTGGAAAGACTTCTTTGAATCCGGAAATCCACCGGTTCAGTGGTGATTCGAGTCATTAAATAATCGAAGTGACTGCTGCTTCATAGACGAAGTTTGGTAGGTTGTTTTAACGCGTCAATTTGAAGGCCCGCAGAGGGAAATCGACCCCACCACCATCTTGATTGAACTAAAAGATCCTAAATCTGCTTTATTGCTCTTCTAAATTCAACTACCCTGTTCACATCCCGATTCCGCGCAATCGGTCATCGTAAACTGACCATGACCTCGGGTAGACGAATCTGGTTGTCACATAAACATGGGGCTGGTGGTGAACTTGTTAGTCGGCATTCACTTTCTCCCACAGTCACTAACGCAACCCTACTCTGGGAACATTTCGTGAGAAGAAGATTGCGGAATACTTTTGTGAGATATGACCGGGTTTTTCCCCGCCCTCACTGTTTCTGGCTTGAAAGGCGTCGCTGAGACCTCTGTTAACACGCGCGCACACACATTAAATGCATGCGTTTCTTCGCGTGCTCCCGCCTACAGGTCATTCTCCTTTAGGTGTAGTAATTAGTCCCTTTCCCCCCCCCCCCCCCCCCTCCTCCA